TCAATTAATATATCGAATATCAGTGATTAATTCAAAAAAAAAATTAAATTGAAATTTAATAGTATCATAATATTATAATTTAAATAAAAACTCAAACAACTCGCCTCCAAAGATCTCAAATAAAGTTTGAATTATAAAGAGCGAAGCGAACATCAACTGTCGTTACAAAGAAAGTCTCGTAGTGGGGGTTACGATTATGTGGGTTGGGGGTGCAGGGGCGCAGCCCCCGCGGTACAGTACAGGGTTATATTTGTAAATATGTACCAAAGTTTATTTATTATAAATAGAGATGTAACCTAAACCTTTGAGATATTGAATAAAACTTCTAGCGCCGCCTAGGCACTGAGGAAGTAAGCACATTGCTGAATCTCGTTAAAATTTCTCGTGTTCTTTCGTTTTTCTTTACCCGATTCTTCAACAATTGCGACTCATTAACTCAAATTTACTCGACTTGATCTAATACTCATTCTAATTTTCTGCACAAAAATAAAAATAAAAGCAAAACACTGACGATAAGAGACGACCATCACTCCTTAAAAAATTAATTTTCAAACAAACACTTGATAGTTATATTTATAAATTCATTTTCATTTTTTCTTCTAAAAATATTTTTCATCTCTCCTTTGCTGGTTCGTTATCTTAAAGTTTGTTAAATTTCGATATAACAAATATTTGTAAAATTGACTTTAGATTTTATTGAATATATTAAAATTTCTTAAAAATAATGAAAAGTCAAATAAGTAAACAATCGTTTTTCACACTTTAAAGTTTAGTTTTCAATGATTTTTGGTTTAAAAGAACGATTTCTTTGGTCGAATAATTGATCTATTTAAGAAAAGGATCAATCCCTTAAATTCTAAGAGCCATCAAACTCATCCACTTTTAGAAAAGATCAATCTCTTTATAGATAAGCCTAAAATGATCGATCTGTTTCTTGACAATAGTAAAAAAAATTTAAAAATGATAATTTTTTTTTTACAAAAGGATTAATCCCTCGTGTCATAAATGATATTTCTTTTTATAGGTAACAACTATATTCCATACCCAACAGTTCCTAATTACTATAACTCATAGAGAAAGTATAAAAACAATCCCAAATATCTTAAGAATAACAAAAAACAACATTGAATGCAAGTATCATTACCAAAGAGTTGTAAAGTGTTTATTTGTCATATTTTCATTGCAAAATACTTGTGACCTTTGATTATTTATTTTGTTCAAGTGTTCTTTTTGAGTTAATGTTTAATTGTGTAAACATATTTAAACAGTGATTTGTATTTGTGTAATCATGATTTTGGAGAATTATTTTAAGGTTATATATTTTCCATAGGTTAGCAAATCTAATGATTTTCTTAATGTAAAATGTAGATTTGATTCAGAAGTCGAATCACTCTAAATTATTGAATAACTTTTTTCTATCTTTTATTGCTTCCATAATTCCACCATAAAACTTTTAAAATGTCAATTTACCCACTATTATATTTCAATTGATAAAAAACTAATAAAGTTACATGCCTGTTACTGACCAATATCAGTTGCGATCGGTTTGAGAATTTTTTAAAAAGACTCCTTTCATATATTTTTGCACTTTCTTATTGAAATGTAAGGTTAGCTTTCTTTAAAAACTATATTAATATACAGATTTGGAAGAAAGGTTCAAATTTACATTCATTGATCTTAAAATCTAATCGTGGAACCGAGTATTATTTTAAAGGTTAACTACATAAATGATCGCATTTTCCTCATTCTTAGATTCTCCAAGAGAATCCCGGGCCGGTGACCTTGCCGGTTCGTGTAAGCGAAGTTGGAAGTGTCGCTCGAGACATGAACCGGTGGAGGCGTTCGCTTGTCTTCGGGAGTGTATTTCACCCGATCGTCCAGCCAAACCACTCCCCGCATTTTGTTCGGCCTGAACCTTGATGTACTCTTTCCTCTGCTGCCATAGCTTGGAAGAAGTTGCAATTCCAAAAACAATGTCGTGGATTTCCGTCGGTCTCGGCTGGTTCGGAGCCCCTTCTATTTGTACTGCCGACACCGGTTTTTCTCGAACATTCCGGTGGCGATGAATGGGTGACTTCGAATCAGCCGTTTGGTTGAGAAACGATGGTGTCAACGAACGCCGTTGAAGAGAAGTGAAGGCGAAATCACCGGAGGCAAGGTGAACGGGGACTATTAAAAACTTGAGAGTGTAGATAAGTAATTGAAACGAATAGGATTAACCAGGCTATGAGCTTAGGAATGGGTCGGGTCGAGTGTCCAAAAACAAGAGGGTTTCCCAATGGACTTCTCATTTGATGAAAAACTGAGCAAACATGGTTCCCAGAAAAGCAAATCAGACGAAAATGAGAGAAAAGTGAAGAAGAAAGTAGAGTAGTAAATGTGTCCAGGGGGTTATAAAATTATTAGGATTTTTTTAAATTTTTTTAGTTATAAAATCATTTTAAATGGACAGATAGATGTGCCGTTTGTAATTAACGGCCACGTCATATTCGCTGTTTCGTTCCTAACGGCTAATATTCATTTTGAATCCATTTAAATTGTTTAGTGATTAAACTGCCACAATTTTAAAATAGTGATCATTTTGCAACCCAAACCTTAATTACGTGGTCATTTATGTAGTTTAGCCTATTTTAAATATGCGGTTCCATGTATTATTCCCTTATGTTTCGTCATTGGGAGTTGTAAGATGAGGCTTTGGTAATCGAAAATGCTCATCGACCAAAAGGTAAGCCCTTTTTGTACTTTCCCTTCTTCTCATTTTCAATTTATTTCCTTAACATTGTTCCTAAATTTTGGATGGATTCAGAAAATGCCTTCATGGGAAGATTCTTAAGTGAGATTCTAAAGCAGGGCTAAATGAGGACTTTAAGTGGTTCTTTATGTGTGGATTTGAACATTTATCCATATAAAAAGCTCTAAATTTCTATGTACTTTAAAATTATTCTCAATGGAAAATGAAAATGTCTTCAAGAGAGGTTTGAATTTTGTCTCAAAGTGAAACTAGAATAAAACTTAATGATGAAATCTCGAGGAAGATAAAATTATATTATATCTATTTTAAAGTAAACTCAATTTTATCTTAAGAGAGATTAATATTATATTGAGAGACACAAAATTCATATCTCAAAGGAGACAAGTTTCACGTCTCAAGAGAGATGATCTCAAGGGAAATCGAGCTTATATTTCAAATAAAACTTAAAGATATCCTCAACAAAGGTTTTAACCTAAAAAGTTAATCAACATACTTTATTAAGTCCAACTTAATATTTTAGGTTCTTATCTAAAATGTTACTTAATTCTAACCTAAAAATTTACATATTAGATAATAAAAACAGTTACAACCTAAAATATTACTCTAGTTTCTGAAATGGAATGGCTATTTTTTTTAAGTTGATAACTAAAAATTTATCTTTTCCGATTTGTTTCATAAAACAATCATTATTTTATCCTTAAAGAATTTTCTTCCAACAACTTAATTTAAAGCGTTTCACCTTCGATTTTTCGCATCTATCTAATCTTATAAATATTCTACAAATTATTATTTAATAATAGATTCTATTATTTAATTTTGAATACATATAAATATATTGGTCTAATTACATAATTGGTCAATGTTACTCATATATTCTTTTAATTTGGTCCTCGTTTTATAAATCAAAATAATGAAACGTGTCATCATTAAATTGGATGACTAAATTTATTTTTAATTTAATAGATTTGAAAGAAAATAAACAAACACACAAGTGAGGAGGTGTGATTCAAACCAAGGACCTCTTGGGTATACTAGAAAGCACAAAACCATTGGATCAAGGCATTCAATTGATTTGCTTTAAACAACAAATAATATATATATTGTATCTTAGTAAACATTTTTTGACAACAAATAATATAATTAATAAATAAAATAAAAATTATTTTTACATAAACAAAAAATAAGAATATATAAAATATATTAAAATAATAATAAAATATTTAAAATATTTAAGTTAATATATTTTTAAAAATTAAGATAAAAAATATTTTTAAGTGAAGATAAAGATAAAATATATATTTTATATTAAAATAAAAATAAAATATATTTAATAGGTTAAGAAATAATAAAATATATTTAATAGTTTAAGATAAAAATAAAAAAATATTTTTAAAATTTAAGAATTAAGATATATAAAATATTATTTCATATTTTTTTGTTAATATAAAATATATAATATTAATATATATATAATATTAAATTATATAATTAAAGAAAAAAATAATATATTTCATATATTCATATTTTTTAATGTAAAATGTTTTCTTAATTTTTATATATTAAAATGGTTGTCCCTTTTTCCCATATGTATGGGGTAAGAGGGAGGTAAGATAGTAGGCTACCCCCAACACTAGGTTGAGAGCAGCTTCCGTAAGAGACCTCCGAATTATGAAATGCCCTCCGTGGGACTCGATCCCACGACCTCAAGGTTAAGAACCTTGTGCTCTACCAACTGAGCTGGATGGTCATTTCTTAATTTTTATATATTAATTACATTATTTGTTGTTTAAAGAAAAAATTACTAAGATACATATATATATTATTTGTTATGTAAAGCAACCAAATGAATGTTTTGTCCCAATAGTTTGGTGCTTTCTAATACACTTAAGAGGTCATTGGGACACATATCATTATTTTAATTTATTAAAATGAGGACTAAATTAAAAGAATATAAGCAACATGGAACAATTTTATAATTATACCAAAATATTTTTAACTGTCACGTCACCTGTTCCGTTAATTGTTAATTTGATTAAAATATTTAAATAGTTTGATGGTATGTTTGATCAAATTGAAACATTTCTGGTCAAAATGAGTTTTAACCATAGTTAAGTGGTTAGTCGTGGAGTTTACCCTAAAACATATTATTGATTCCGACCCGACCCAATTGAAAAGCCCAAAAAAGAAAAAAAAGAGAAGGCCGTCGTAGATCTAGCTGTTTCAACTTGAACGCTATATTTGTGCGTCTAAGCTCTATCTTGTCTGCTCCTCAGTCAAACTACCTTTTCTCCTTTGAAACATTTTCACAGGAAGATGTCGTGGCAAGCGTACGTTGATGATCACTTGATGTGCGAAATCGAAGGAAACCATCTCACCGCCGCCGCCATCATCGGCCATGACGGCAGCGTTTGGGCCCAGAGCGACAGTTTCCCTCAGGTCTTTTTCTTTTCCTCTAGTCTTGTTTTTTCGTTTACTTTCTCTTTCTTTGATTTTGATTTTCCAGTTAAAAAGATTGATTCTGCTTTGAGTTTGGGATCTGAATCTTATCATTGATTTATCTTTTGCATTCTTTTTTCGCTGATCTGATTTGGTCCTAAACGATTGATTCACTCTTGATGGACTTAGATTTTGTGGTTTTTATGTTCGTCAAAGTTGGGATTTTTTTATGATTGGTTTGTTTATTTGAATGAATTGTTGACAGATTTTGCCCTTTCATGATTGGGAAATCTGTATTATTTGTGGGTTCGTTTATTTGTAGTTTTTGAATCAAATGAAATGAAGATATGCTAATGGATCTTCATATGGCCTCAACTTTATAGATGATGATAATAGATGTAATTAAAGGATGAAATGTTTTTACCACGACTCCTACTGTTTGTTTCAGTTTTAAAGCTGTTTTACTGGTTTAAACAGTGGGATCTTATGTTTTTTACTCTCTTTTTCTGATCAAGGATTTGCTTATTGCTTCTCGGTTTTATCTTTATTTCAGTTCAAGCCCGAAGAAATTAGTGCCATCATGAATGACTTTAATGAACCTGGATCACTGGCTCCGACCGGATTGCACCTCGGTGGCATGAAATACATGGTGATCCAAGGTGAGCCTGGAGCTGTTATTCGAGGGAAGAAGGTGATGCTCTCCGGCTTTTATTGGTTTCACTTTTCTATAACACTGAAAAACCTCATTTGCACATGCGGTCTTACAAGAAATCGTCTTTATGCTTTTACATTTTGTTCGGATTGTAATTCTGGTTCAACATTTAGTATGATAACAATTATAAAATGAAGATTTCATCCATATTGCCTGAACCATTATTGGTGAAAACCCGAAACTTCACTTTCAAACTTATGCAACACTTAAACGTATTACAAAGTGATATCATTGATGATTAGCTATCCGAGTTAAAACATTGATGCCATACTTTCATGCCTACTCAATATGCACTTGTTTTCGATGTTACGCTTTTTGTATACATCTGTTATTTGAAGCCTTCCTGCTCTGATGTTTTTTAGGGAGTGTCTGTGATATACAATACGATACTGTGTAACCATTCTATTTATTCGGTCACCTATCGCAGAAATTTTTGTTTTCTCTGTCATGGTTGTATTCCAAGCTTATTGACATTTTAATTTCAGGGAACTGGAGGTGTTACAGTTAAAAAGACCATTATGGCCTTGATCATCGGCATCTATGATGAGCCAATGACTCCCGGCCAGTGCAATGTGGTTGTTGAGAGGCTCGGCGATTATCTCAACGATCAGGGTTATTGATTCTCTTTGGTGTGGACTTATTTGTGATTCTTATTGGCTTTTCTATACCAAAAAAATTCATGGTATTACTAGTATTTACAATCATGGGAACATTTTTCGAAATTGAAATGCTTGGTGTTTGTATTTTGTTTGATGGGCACTATCAAGATTGTTGAGTGAGGTACTTTGTCTTGCATTTACAGTGGAGATTCTACTTTTTGTTTTTAATTTATTTGATAAAAAATGTTTATTTGATTTGTGTTTTACTTTCTCTGTTAAAACAAACTTAGTTTGCGAACGTATTTCAAATATAACACAACAAAAATAGCATAACGTGAACTTACAAGAATTTATATAATAAGATTTATATCAATTTCATTTTGTGTTTTTACAAGAAATGTATTTATATAAATATGGATAAATTATACGTGTAGCATTTTAAAGTATTGCTTTTGTTTTGTTTTGGAATTCAAATTTTATTTTTTTTTTCAAAATCATAAGAAAATAATAAAATTATTGGCATGATATTTTTTTTATTTTTCATTGATGACATGTTGTTTTACAATGATATGTCAACATCATTATTTTATGGTGATATACTAATATCATTGTTAAGTTTTTAATGGTGGGATATCAAAGTGAAATTTAAATTAAATATTAGATATTGTTTTGAAAAAAATATAAAATTTGGGTTTCGAAATGGAATAAAAGTAATAGTTTAAACACTAAATGTGTAGTTCATCCTATAAATATTTGTGTTTTTACGACAAATGTATTTATACAAATAGAGATCTCAGTATTGGGAATGTAGATGGTTGGATGAACGTGCTAATGAATGTAATTTGAAGATAAATCATCTAACTTTTAAGCGTTATTTTTTTTCTCATCTAACCATAATTTTTTCATAACTTTCTTTTTTAGACACGGAGTTGCTTATTGTCCACCTAAATTTATTTAGGGATGGAAATCCAACTTGAGATCAACAGATTTTGATCCGACCTAATTCGATAGGGTCAGATTTTCTTTTAAAGAAAATTTCGGATTCGGGTGGAGGATAAAAAAACTTCAACTCGACCTGATCTGGGGTAATAATGTAATTTTATTTAAAAAATTATTATTATTTTAATTAAGTCCTTATTTTATTACAGATTGGGTCGAGTCAGGTCAGGTCGGAGTCTGATGGAGGATATATATTTTTCGGGTCGGATCGAATCAGATGGAGGATATATAATTTTTGGGTCAGGTAAGATTCAAGTACTTCTAGAACCTTGAAGTAAACCTTGGGTCTCTATCAGATACTATCGATATGGACATTCCATGTAGCCTAACTATCTCTTTTACATACAATTTCGCATATTTATCCATCGAGTAATCTACCTGAATTGGAATAAAGTGAGCTGCCTTGGTCAGTCTGTCTACAATTATCCATATCGAGTCCTTTTTACCTGTGACAAAGGTAGCCCCGAAACAAAATCCAGTGTAACTCAGTTCCCACTTCCACTCAAGAATGGATATCGGTTGCAACAGTCCATACAACACTTGATGTTCATCTTTCACTTGCTGACATGTCAAGCATCTCGCAACAAACTCTGATACAAATTTTTCATACCATGCCACCAATAACTACTCTTTAAATCCTGATACATCTTATTCCTGCCTGGATGCATCGTCAAAGGACTATAGTGTGCCTCAGAAAGTATAACTTTCTTCAATTCATCATTATCAGAAATACAAAGTCTTGCACGATAATATAAAAATCCATCAATCCTCATTTCGAAATCTTTAACCTCTTTTTTTTCCACTTGCGGCATTCTTGCCAAACATTTCTCATATCGACCTTGCAACTCTTTTACCCGATCCAAAAGTATCGGCTTTAATTTAAGTTATGCAATCAAGGAACCATCTTTCTTTAAAGACATACACACATCTAAAGCCCGTAGAATGGCAAAAGTCTTTCGGCTAAGTGTATCGGATACCACATTAGCATTTCCGGGATAATAATCGATGATCAAATCATAATCTTTTAAAAGCTTGATCCATCTTCTTTGTCTCAAATTCAGTTCTTTTTTAGTCAACATGTACTTTAGACTTTTATGATCCGTATAAATATGGCATCGCTCACCATACAGATAATGACGCCAAATTTTTAAAGAAAATACGACCGTTGCCAATTCCAAGTCATGTGTCGGGTAATTTCCCTCGTGATTCTTCAGTTTTCTTAAGGCGTAAGCCACCACTTTTCCATTTTACATAAGCACACATCCCAACCCATTATGAGATGCATCACTAAAGACTACATAGTCTTTACCAGACTCAGGTTGTACAAGCACTGGGGCCTTTGTTCGATTCTCTATAACATTTCAAAACTTTCTTGGCATTTCTCTGACCAAGAAAAAGGCACATCTTTCCATAATAACCTAGTTAGCGCTGAAGCTAACATTGAGAACTTCTTCACGAACCGTCTATAATAACCATTAAGCCCTAAGAAACTCTAAATTTTTGAAATATTCTTTGGGGTTTGCCAATCCACTATAGCTTTAATCTTTTTAGGATCTACTCTTATGCCTTCTACGGAGACTATATGACCAAGAAAAGTAATTTCAGCTAACCAAATTCACACTTGGAGAATTTGGCATACAATTTCTTTTCTCGAAGGGTCTGAAGAACAACTCGAAGATGGGCATCACGTTCCTCTCTTGACTTGGAATACACCAAAATATCATCTATAAATACCATCACGAATTGATCCAAGTAAGGTTAGAATACTCGGTTCATAAAGTCTAAAAATGTTGTAGGAGCATTAGTCAATCCAAATAGTATCACCACAAATTCGCAGTGTCCATATTGAGTCCGAAAAGCTATTTTAGAAATATCATTCTCTTTGATCTTTAATTGGTGGTAACCGACCTCAGGTCTATCTTAGAGAACACTAATGCGCCTTTTAATTGATCGAATAAATCATCAATCCTCGGAAGAGGATACTTATTCTTTATCGTTACTTTGTTTAACTAACGAAATTCGATGCATAATCGCATAGAGCCATCCTTCTTTTTCACAAACAACACAAGTGCACCCCAAGGAGAAACACTGGGTCTCACAAATACCTTATTGAGTAACTCTTGCAATTGGGCTTTTAACTCTCTTAACTCCATTGGATCCATTCGATATAGAGCCATAGAAACAGGTTCGGTACCCGGGTAAACCTCAATCTTGAATTCTACCTCACGGTTTAGAGGTAAACCCGGTAATTCTTCTAGAAAAACCTCTGGAAACTCCTTAACTGTTGGGATATCATTTAATCTTGCTTCTGGTACTTGAGTATCTATCACATTAGCTAGGAAATCTATACACCCCTTTGACATCATTTTCCTTGCAGTCATGGCTGATATTACATTGGAAGATGATTTCACTTTTTTGCCGATCACTACTAATTCGGAGCCTTTCGCTTCCTTAAAGAATAATCACTTTTGGTGATAATCAACCCATCCAGGATGTGGAGATAACCAGCCCATGCGCAAAATGATTTCAAACACTTCGAAAGGCAACTCCATTAAGTTTTCCGGAAACATAATCCCTTGTATCTTTATCGAGCATTTTCTACATACCCAAGTTACTCTCGCACTGTGGCCCATAGGGTTTACATCTATCATCTCACTAACAATTGGTTCTAAAGGAATTCCTCTAGCTATAACCAACTTTGTACTAATGTATGAATGTGTAGAACCAGGGTAAACTAAAACAAATACAGGCTCACCAAAAAATGGAATGTACCTTTTATGATCTCCGGGTCATCTCGATCCTCATTGGTCTTAGTGTTGTAAATTATGGTGACTCCCCGAGTCTCGTGTCGGAGCATTGATTCAGATGATCCTCTGGATCTACCTCTTCCTCTGCTTCTATTAGAGGCTATCATAGATATTTCAGATTGCGCCGAATTGTCCCTAGATTTCTTAGGACAGTTTCTGGCAAAGTGACCAGTCTCACCACATTGGAAACAAGCTCCACCGAGAATTCTGTATACTCCTCGGTGCACTTTACTACATGCTTGACATAAAATTCTCTCTCCAAATGCTCTACCCGAGCTAGCAATAAAAGACTGAGACTGTTTAGATTTCTGCGAAGCTGCAGCAGAACCATCTCTGTCAGTATATCGGGAACTTGAGCCCTTGCTCTCTTAGCATGATGGGGAGTTAAAGGCGTTCCAACTCTTTTCTCCATCTGTAAACTCTGCTCCGCTGATAATGTCTCATCCTAAGCTCTTTCAATAGCCTTGGCTTGGTTTATGACTTCTTCCAAGCTAGGCAAATTAGAAGCCAACATCATCTCTTTCAACTTTGGCCTCAAACCTTCAATGAACCAATCACGTCGAGCCTTGTCATTGGAAACCACCTCAATAGAAAAACGACTCAACTTATTATACTCAGCCTCGTACTCATCTACTGCTTGGTCATATTGTTTCAAATTAAGGAACTTCAACAGTATCGCCCGTCTAAACTGTTCACTAATATACTTATTGTTAAATTCTTCTAGGAAGAACTGCCAGGTCAATTGTTCCGGTGGTGCATACATTGTAGTATTTGACCATCACACTCGAGCTGGTACCTTTAAAACCAATACAGCTCCACCTAACTTTTCCGAATCTGAGCAGTGAAGACTTTCAACCATTACCGTTACATCATTCATCCATAAGTCAGCCTCCATATGACCTTCATCCTCTTCTCCCCAGAATTTTGGAGCGCCCAAACTCTTTAGCTCCTTTGGGATCAACATCCTCGGTACTGGAGGAGCAGTGGGAGGTGGAGGAGGTTGAAATCGGGTCAATACGGCGTCAAGAGCTTGCATAAAAGCTCCAAACTCAGGCACCAACATCCCCTGATGTGCAGGTGCACTAGCATTTTCAGATGTAATTGACTGTTCATTATTAGCCTCATAACTTTCGCTACCAGTTCTTTCTCTAATTTCTTATTCCCCCGCTCTTCGCGAGTTAGAGGATTTCGACATCTATTAGACATAAATAATAATAACACTAAAGTTAGTAAGGAGTGTCATCAATCACACTCTAATGACACTATATAAGTAACCTTGACAATCTTAATGGCATGTAATCCCTTTTTCTAATTCAATAAAAACTGGTTTCGGTCGAGAATTGGCTAAAGTTGTAACTCTGATACCAATAAATATAACACACATTTCTCGTATATGCATTTCGTACACAAGTCATAGGTGTCACATGACTTATAAAAATATTAACTCATTTGTAAAACCCATAAAATTTTGTTTCGAAAATCAAACCAAACATTTTAATACAATAATAAAGCATTCATTGTAATATATTACTAAAAATTATCACTTTAAATACATTCCAGATCATTTTTCTTAAATTCGATTACATGTTAGGTAATTTTCAAAATAAACATAATTGTCCTACTATTACTGACGAGTCAACCTTAGATTGATGATAGTTGTTGCTGCTGCACCCCTTACTCGACTAATCTTTGATTTTACCTACGCGTAAAATCAACACACGTTAATTATTTACTTAGTGATGCATAATACTGTAAATGAAGTACAATTTATTCATAATCATGTCATGACTATCAAAATCCAAGATAATTTGTACACTTCATGAGAATCATTTACAATCTTTTTAGTTAAAACTTGCATTAGTGGCATCTTTCTGCCAAAGATGCACCATTTTTCATCTAACTTGCATTAGTGGCACATTTCTATAAAAAAAATGCATCGTTAGACATTTAACTTGCATTAGTGACACATTTCTGCAAAAAATACACCATTTTTCATCTAACTGGCATTAGTGGCACCTTTCTACAAAAAATGCACAGTTAGGCATTTAACTTGTATTAGTGGCACATTTCTGCCAAAATGTACCATTTTTCATCTAACTTGCATTAGTGGTAACTTTCTACCAAAAATGCATAGTTAGGCATTTAACTTTCATTTTAGAGCAGTTCATACTCTAAAAATTATTCATAATATCATTTCCATACACATTATAAACATATATCAAATATGGTAAAACATACATTAAATCAAAACATTAGAGGTTGACTCATTGTGAGTCTCCCTCATCCCATATGATTACAATAGATGCACTCACCTTATATAACTCCCTATTATACTGAAATGGCATCCAACTACTCTACAACCTTACCCTTGTCCTTTTTCTTGCTTGACTCGGGAGCTTGGTTATGATCTTTGGCTATGGAGGAGAGCACGATCATGGGAGAAGAATAAGAGTGGATGGCTTAGTTTAGATTTCAACTCTCTCCTTTTTTTAAATCCCTAATAGAAATGAATTTTAAATTCATTTCACTCTAAATGACCAAAATACCCTTTCATTTTTCCATTCTTACTAATTGGTCTTACTTAAATCATTTCTTATACTTTATCATTTATTCAATTTAATCCTCCAAAATTTAAATCCTTTCAAAATAGTCACTGACCTAATATTTGGGGTATTACATGACAAGTTCCAAGTGACCGTTGCCAAGTGACCATTGCACAACTGTCGGTTGGCCAACAACTAGTTTTTTGAATTCGAAGGAGGTGACTAGTTCCCCTCTTTTTATTAAAAAAAATATTTTTAATTTTTTTCAATAATAAATTTTTTTAACAGACTCGTCGTCTCGACATGATGAGTCCCAACAAAAATAATAATTATTAGCCCACGTGAGACCCACTCATTCAGGTCAATTAAAAAAATATTTTGCGACACTGTAGTAAATGTCATAGATCCCTAAATAATTTTGGATGATGGATAAAACCCTAAATTATTCCAATAGCCCTATTGGACCAAAAAAAATCAAAAACCCGACCCATTACCATAATTAAATTTATTTTTTCTTTCTTTTTATTATCTCCACACGCAAAAATAAATCCATAATTTTCTTCTCATGTCATCTAAGATTCATCATTCTTTGATAATTTGTTTTATGTGTTAACTACATGATTGATCACTTATGTTTGTGTTATATCCACTTTTTTTCATTGATTTCAAAAAATATAGGCAAAAGGATAACTTTTGCCCCTGTAGTAGATCCAATTTATCACTTTCGCCCTTATTGTATTTTCGCGTCAATTTAGCCTTCAAAATTGCTCAATTGCATCATTCTATACCTATCCCTAACTCAGAGCCCCAAAATATAAACTTTAAATCCTAAATCATAACCCCATAACTTCTAAACCAAAAACCCTAAACTCCAAACTCTAAATTAAGGATTATAATTTAGGGTTTAAAGTTAAGGGTAATGTATAGAATGATGTAATTAGATAACATTGAGAGCTAAATTGATGTGAAAATAAAATAGGGGCGAAAATGATAAATTAAGTCTACTATAGGGGTAAAGGTGACCCTTAAACCAAAAATATAATATATGATCATTTTATTTTTATTTTATTAATATATGATCACTTTCATTTTTTATTTAATTTTAGATGTGGTCACAACAAGTTAATTGGTGTTAATTAGGTGACATGGTATTTTGATATAAACACAGATTTGGTCTCTGTTATTTATATATTCTTTTAATTTAGTCATATTTTAAATAAATTAAAATAAATTCAATCCTCCGATGGAACCTAGGTCTCTTGGAAAATCAAACATGTATTCAACCATTGATCCAAGACTAATGTTTGGTCTAAAATAGACAACATGATATATATATATATATATATATATATATATATATGTATCTTAGTGAATAAATATTTAACTTAAATTCATAATATTATATATATATATATACTTTTATTTTTATATTAACTTGTTAAATATATTTTGTTATTAATTTAATTTTAAAATATTTTATTTTAATTTGTTAAAAATACTAGTAAATTAAGAGAATATATAAATAACAAGTATCAAATGTGTGATTTTATGTAATGACAGTTAACTCGTGGTGACCACATCTTAATTAAATAAAAACAAAAACGGTCATATATTATATTTTTTGAAACCAGTAATAAAACAAAAAATATTACGTAGTTAAACCTTTGTTTTATTGTCCACATTTTATTGATTAAACTTTTCTAAAATCTCATTGAACTTGAAAGAAAATAATTTTGATTTATTATTCTCATCGTTTGATGAATGTGAAACCGAAATTTATTGTTTTCTTTTATGGTTTTGTGTTTTGAGTAATCCATCGAAATATAAATGGAAACGAGTTTTTGATAAATGCACATTCCATATTTCTATTCAAATCGCAGCATTTACATTATCATCATCCTCTTACAGTCTTACACCATTTAATCATCCCTAGGAAAAAAATAAAATAAACATCCTCATCTGGCTTTCAGAATGATGCATCAAACACATTGCCCGGGTTTATGATAAATGAGATCAATGCCATTAGAAATAAACCAGGAACCCATGGGCACTCGGTACGTTCCGACCCTGATGCATTAGCAGCGAACGCAGTCGTGTTACTTGTGGTTTTGTTGAGCCTGCATCGTAACATAATTACAGCTTTAGTACATTTAACGTTGGATCCGGTCGATGATAGTCACATGGGTAAAGGGGGCGAAATGGAGGAATGGAAGAAAATATATTCGATACATGAGATGCTTAGGGAATATAAGCTTTACCCTCTAGCCGTCAGATAGATGCAATTGTCATAGCCTGCATATATAATTAAGAGAATTAGTTTCTTGGAAAGGAAGATCATCCTAAAACCAAATTCTAAACCGATCATCAAACAGATAATGGTTGTTTTCAAGACTTAAAATTCATGCCATCAGGCATATCGGGCAAGCTATTGTTTGTTTATCGAAACATGGTACAGAAAAGTTAACTTAAGCTAAGAATAACATCTTCGAGCCAGCTCAGTCAGTACAAATTGGGATGGATAAACATGTGCAATGCAATCTTTCAATCAGATTTTGAAGAAAATAATAGACTTACTGGGATCCTTGTCAACTTCGGCCCCATTTCCTCCAAAACTGCATGCGACGTCGGTGGCCCCATTTTGCTGGTAGTAACTGTTGAACGCAAAGGAGGCATGAGAAACTAGATTATCCGGCTCAAAACACGGTTGACTAGGCTGAATGGGGGAGCAATCCACATTACCGGGACCGCAAGCCCAATCTATAGCACTCTGCAAGTCCAGCTCAGAAGCCTTGCTAGAAGCGATGCACCATGTTGCTCTGTTTGAGTTGGTATCATTTGTGCTATTTGTCATATCGATGGCACCTTTTCCAGTGAAGTCGAGGTTATATACACTTGTTTTATCGGGATAGAATAGGCCCCAGTTTCTCTCTGATTCCAGTCCAGGCTTTCTGTTCTCGTTAAACAATGAGAAAATATAGGCATCTATCTCTTCACCGGGCTTGGCAGGAGTGCCGGTGCCGTTGATGACATGACGAATTAGATTGGTGTTATATGTCTGGGCATTGTCTGGAGTTGCAGCTCTCTCCTTCGGTGAACCTTTCGAAGGCCATCCAGTTTCCGTAACCATAACCCTAATTGTTTTGAAATTTAGAGCCATCAGGGCAAAATAAAGGGCATCTATCTGGGCATCGAACATGTTGGTGTAAAGTAGACCGGTGTTCGGATCTATGACTTCTGAGGATGACTGAAACAAAGCATAATCCAAAGAGATTTTTTTGGGAGAGTCTCTAAAAGCATAGTAAGGATATAAATCAATCATAAAAGGTGACTGATTCTCAGCTAGGAATTCCAACATAGGTTTCAAGAAAAATGCATGGCTACTATTGAAAGCCCCGGCAGAAGGAGGGAACGATCGGGACAAAACCCCTAGAGAATGCGCACTTGAAACTTTGATCTTCTTATGCAGACCAACCTTTTTCAATGCTGTTAGGACATTATGCATGGCAGGTACAACCAAGGCAGAGGCATTATCGGGGCTCTCAGTGACTTCAAGACCTACGGTGATGTATGTGATCTTCGTGGCAGGGTAGTACGGGAGGATGTTGTTATTTAGCCATGAATCTGCATTTGATTGGAACTGGGAGAATGCTAACAAGTCGGAATTCGGAACTCCAACCATAAGTTCAACTCCGGTGTTTGCAAAGGCTCTCAACACTTGGATATTAGAATCGTAAATCCGAAGGTACTTAATGTTGTGAAGTTTTACCAGTTGTGCTACTTTATCAGGTGTCGGAAGATCATCAGCATTCCTTCCGTAGCAAACTCCGACTATGCTCCCACGGCAGAAATCTGTCATAGCAATTGATATCAGACAAAAGTCCTCAACAAACAACAAAAATGAATCTTTCAGCAGCTAAAATGCAAGATAACCAATGTTTCAGAACATACAAAACGATTTTCAAGTTATCCTAGTCCAGAGATATCACATAGTCCAAAATTCGTAACATTCCCCACAAAAGATTTTCAAGTTCGAAATCGTTTTTAAAATCATTTCAGTAAACATTAAGGCATCTTAAATGCCAATGCAAGTAGCTAAAGCAATCCACACCTGTAGTTGAGTCGATTCTTTTAAGAAATGAACTAATGATCATCTATACTACACCATCTCTCAATTTTAACCATGTCCGATACCATCCTCAATATTTTCCATATCCGACACTCGGCCACAACTCCGACTCTCCCAGTATAGAAGACTATCAAGGGATCCACAGGCTAAAACATAGAATCTGATGTCATGCATGATCTTAAATACAAATGGATAACAGCTTGTCTACAAACATCTAACATATTTTACTATATGAAGGAAGAAACAGACAACCCAGAGATCAAGTAATCAAAACCAAGAATACCCAGATGAGAAAGAGAGTAAAAATGCAAGAAAACATTGAAATGCAAGCAGAATGCTAAAAAAAAGGTGAGATTTTTCAGATCAAAAGTAATGTGGGTGCTCAAAATCAAAGATTAATGCTTCAAATATGCAAAGATCTAAGCAAAGATGAATATACAAAAAGTTGAACAGTGTGGATATAAAGATAAGAGGGGCATACGTAAAAGTAAATGGAGGAAAGAAATTGCAAAGAGAAGCTTGAATCTTGAGGCCATTTTTCATCCAAAGAAGATTATTATCTTCTACTTGAATCCTAATGGGTTTTACTTTTTGCCAACGTTTTTATTCTAGTGAATCGAACTAAGCCACCAATGTTTTTGTTTATATGACACTCTCATTCCCTCTGCTCAGAAAAGCCCGAGAGTGAGCATTAATGGTTGATTTGGCTGGCTGCGCTTTTGATGCACCTTATTTTTTATTATTTTGTTGTTTTAGAGAGACTGACAGTGTTTCGGACCGGATTTTAGTATAATTTTTGTGAGTTCCATTTGAGAAAGCTTCTCGGTTCCGCTACTTTTTGCCCGTTGAGCATGTTTGTTCTCTTCTCTTTACGGAGAGAATATAATATACAACCTATTAAATGGGCCAACATTAGCACAAACAGCAAAGCGGATAAGAAAACAGGTTTTTTTTTACCCCAATAGGGCACCCACTTAAATTTTTTGGCCGACACCTCAAAAATTAATTTGGAATATATTGTATTTTTTACAGTCTAGAGCGAATTTATCATCTCGACATGATAAGTTTTATAGAATATAAATTTTATATTTAGGTCAATATTTTAATATTTCCTGTGAAACTCGAGTTCTATTAAAAAATATTTTTTTAGATTATTATGCGAATTTATTATTGGAAAGAAAAAATACACTAGAATTTGTCACGTTAAGGTGACAAGTTAATCTAGATTTTTTTTGTTCTCCAAAATGTAGTAGATTATGTTTAAAAGAATAATAAACTATGAACATTAGCTTAAACATTCAGAAATGCACATTAAGAAGAAAAAAACTACAAACTCAATACATTAACATAAGAACGTAAATAGGACTAACCTTACGAACACCATAAACATTAAATAAAATCATTAACATAACAATATTGATTGAGAAGTTTTAATCTTCGTAATCAGTAGATTGTCTGAGGTAAGATTAAGTTCTTTAATTCCCTATTCTTTTTGTTGTTTTCGTTCACGTACGAATTGGAACCATGCTTATGGGTCTCCATCATCTATGTTTTTTTCTTGGTCAATTGTCTGAGTTGGTGGGATATTCGAGCTGGAAGCAACATCCTCAATGGTATGAGCAAGATCGAGATCATCAAACTCTACAAACAAATCAACATTAGAGAAAGAGCGATAGTAATATGTCTCAATCATTCTAGCAAGGACTACATCATCGCTTAGATGAAACCTCATGCATGATAGTGTAAATCTATAATACAAGGAATATACTCTTCTACTGTTTCCGAGTAGAACTCTTGTTTCTATATTGAATTTCAACTCGTGTAGTTGAATTTTTTTGGGAAACACATGGTTATAGATTTGCAATCGTAAAAAAATAGTTGCACAAATAGTTGACATGTTTGAAAAAAAACTCAAGCTTTGGAAGTGAAAGATTGAAAGTATTTTTTTTGCTTCAATGACAGAGTAAAATGACTTTCAACTCACACATATTAATAGTTGCTAAAGATGATTAACTGGCCATTGAAAAGTTGGTGAAATGGGTCATTATTTGGCCTATGAGAAACACATGTTTTTTTACATGAAGTGATAAATGCACCACAAAAAAATTTTCTGATTTGAGTTGATACATCACTGAAAAGTTGCTAAAGATGACAAGACACCACTATTTCACATGTTGTCTAAAAAGTTGTTTAAATTATGCATTGAATGATCTCTAACAAGTTGTAGAAGATGATAATGCACTACTATTTCACCAATTTTCTAAAAATTTGTTTAAATTATGCATTGAATGACCTTTGAAAAGTTGCAGAAGATGATAATGCACCACTATTTGACCCATTTTTTGAAAAGTTGTTTAAATTATGCATTGAATGACCTCTGAAAAGTTGCAGAAGATGATAATGCACCACTATTTCACCCTTTTTTTTGAAAAGTTGTTTAAATTATGCATTGAATGACCTCTGAAAAGTTGCAGAAGATGATAATGCACCACCATTATTTGGCCACAGAGATGATATTTCACAAGAGAGTTGTTGAATAGTAATTAATAATTGGTCATATTTGTTTTAAATTGGCTCACTTCAGATGAATCTTCACAAGACTTGCTATTTTTACAATTGTATTGAACAAGCAAAACCCAATCTCTCTCTGAAGCTATGGCGAACAAGTTTTTCATAATCGTCCACCCAAATGGACAAGTTATCGAAACTGAAGATGGTGTTTAGTTCCTGTCACAGATGCCCGTGAATATGATGTTCCCGGTAGATGTATTTCATTGGCAATTGAAGATGAAAAAAATTAGAGGTTATGTTTTAAGTTTGAGATATCGACACATCATTTTAGAGACACCGATCAAATATGGAGCAATCTTGATCGATGATGATGACGATGTAACTCTTATGGTTGACCTTCATCAATCTTCCAATAATCAAATGATTGAGATTATTGTCTAAACTGTAGATGTTCATATTTCGTCAACTGCTGCACCGATGACCACAAAAGTAGAACAATTAGAATATTTAGATACCCTCGTCGGGTGATTCAGTGAAATCATTTATGATTTTAGCAATGACGATGAAATTTTTGTTCCACTTATATAGACGATGACATACCAATAATCGATGAATATGATATCACTGAGGTTGCTTCAGATGAACAAGCCTTTGATAGAGGGTGATCTCTGTGAGGCAGTTATTTCTCGTGGCCAATCAATACAAAATGCTCCGCCAGTTTGGGCACATCCACCAACAGCCATGCAAATAGAAAGTTCGTACCCCAAGATGCCTATTGAACCTATTTTCATATGACAATTTTAAGGGCAAAAATATTTTTAGACTAAATTGAATTTATTCAAAATTTTCAAAAATAATTCAAAGTCCATAAAACTTGAATTTGAACACAAAAATGATTTTCTTGAAAGAAGTATTGATATTTTTCTTATAGTATGATACTACATGAACAATATCGATATTGTTCTTGTAGTATCGATACCCAAGGTAAGGAAAGTATTGATACCCTCATAGTAGTACCGATACTGCTTATTGGTTTTAAATGTGTTCAGATTCCAATAGGTATTTTTGGTACTGATACTTAAAGGAGTATCGATACTACTTTGTATAGTAGTATATGTACCATGATCTCAGTACCGATACTCCCAGTCCAACGAGCGAAAAATGACTAGTTTTTATTAGTACAATATCGATACTCCAAGCCCAAATATTGATACTCCCTGGTTTGTAATTTTTGCAGCAATTAAGTCCCCAAATGGCTCCAACGCATCCCCAACCGCTAGAAACGGCTATAAACACATTCCAACATATAAAAACAAGTTGAGGTCACTTGAAGAAGGTTATACACACCTATCCAAGCATTGATCATCAAGAGAAAAGCTTTCATTCTTTATTGTTCATTTTCTCTTGTAAATAGTGTGTTTTTAGTTAGCTTAATTTGTAAACACTTTCCTTTGAGAGGTTTCTTGTTTACATTCTTTTTATCCTTTTGTAAAAGGGTTGGTTTGTAGTTTAGCCATTGAAAACTAAGGAGTTGTAAAAGGTTACTCTTGAGCCTAGAAAAAGAAAGAAAAAAATGAGTGAATTTGTTAAAAATCCTTAGTGTGGAGCTAAGGTAGTGGATGTAAACATCATTGAGGAAGTTGAACCACTCTAAATATTTGTATAATTTTTCTATCATTTCTCTCCATACTCCCAAATTTTTTATTTAGCCAATTCACCCCCTTTTGGCACTTTTTCAGTTGATTGATAGAGTATCATATATCTCAATAATTGGTATTAGAGTAGGTCATAAATTAACAGTTTAACAACCTTGTTTAGATCCTTGTTGCTCTCTATCAATTCTCGAAGTAACTGAGAAGATGACTTCAATATCCGACGCATACGAGCTTGAAGACTCTCATTCCATTCATAGGCCTCCTTACTTCAATACTGACAACTACTCCTATTGGAAGAATAGGATGATGTTGTTCATCCAAGCCACTGACCTCGTAGTTTGGGATGCCATCATCGACGATTCTCCTATTCCTCCAAGAAATCGAAATGAATAGACCAATGAAGACAAGAAGCTTGCCCAACTAAATGCCAAATTTATACACATCCTCTTTGTTCTCTTGGTCCGGATGAATATAGTAGAGTATCTTCATGCTTTAATTCCAAGGAAATTTGGGGCAAGTTGGAGGTGACTCATTAAGGAACAAGCCAAGTGAAGAAGTCAAAGATTGGCATTCTCAATCTCAACTATGAGAAATTCAAGATGAAGCCCGATTAAGACATTAAGACGATGTCTTATCGGTTCACTTCAATCATAAATGAGTTAAAGAACTTTGGAAAGGTTTATCCTAATGAAGAAGCAGTGAGAAAGATGCTTGCCTCATTGACTACATCATGGGAAGGTAAAACAACCGCCATTGAAGAAGCCAATGACTTGGAGTTGTACACCCTTGATGAACTAATAAGTTCTTTTCTCACTCATGAGGTGAAACTCCAAAATAAGAATAAAGAAAAAGAAAAAGAGAATAATAAGAAAAAGAATGAGGTGGGAATCACCTTCAAATCCATCAATAAGAGTAATCAAGACTCAAGTGAAGAGGTGGATGAAGATGAAGAGATGACCAAGCTCTTCAAAAGATTCAAAAAATTCATGTCTTCCAAAGAAAAAAAGTGAAGCATGAATTGATCAAGAAGAATGGTCCCCTAGTGTGCTTTGAGCGCCAAAGAACAAGACATTTCAAATATGAATGTCCTATTCTAAAGAAGAAGGGATCAAGCAAAAAGAAAGCATTCGTGGCAACTTGGAGTGATGAAGGCAACTCCGATGATGAAGTAGCCAACTTATGTCTCATGGCCATCGAAGAAGATTTAAGGGTATCTTTTGTCTCTTGTGATTTAAATTCTTGTTCATTTAAAGAGTTACAAGATGCCTATGATGAATTGTATTTATAATTTGAGACCATGAATTCGAAATATAAGAAATTAATTTCAACATTTAAAGTTGAAAATGATTTTCTTTTGAAAACAAAAATAGATTTTGAAAATATAAAATTTTGAAAATTGATTTTAAGATTTCAAAAGCAATGATTTAGAAAAACAAAATCTTGATTTAAAAGTTAAGCTTGAATGCTTAACAAAAGAAAAAAAAAATTTCTCAAAACAATTCATCATGTTTAAAAATGGCAAAGTACTCACATGC